CCCCCCCCGTCTGTTAATTATGCTCTTTTTCTGCTACACCCTCCGCAGTTTCCCCAGCAGACAGGACGGCTACGCGCAGAGCCTATTCCCTGCACTTTCGCAGTGGCGGTGGTGGGTGGAATGATGCCTTTTACCTTTCCGGTTGCTCTATGTGTGCTTATCTATGAGTGAACAGCTAAGATCGGGGAAAATTCCTGTTTCCAGAATTAAACTTAGAAAATGGACCCCTTTCTCACGTCATGTTTTCTAAGAGGATACATTTGTTATAAGAAACCTTTAAAACTTTTTTAAAAAGTAACCTTATGTACAAGTCAACTATGCTAAACGTGTCTGGAAAAAAGTTAATGACTCAGTTTTTACTGTGTGCTAGTTTTATGCATATTGTCTTATTTAATTACCACTCTAGGAGGCTGGCACTCATGTTTTCATATACAGTTTTTAAAAAAAAAACAAAGAGGGTAAGTAACACTGCCCAGGTTATATATACATTTACTAAATTTGACCAGTTTCTCTCAAAGAGTTTTGCAGTCTAATGGAGGAGATAAAGAGTGAATATAACTATAGATCAAAATATGTAAAAGGAAATGTAACAGGAGAGAAGTAAGGGTTAAAAAACGTGGAGAGATTACCCAGAGGATAGCTTTGGAGAAGGGTTTAGAAGGATTGGTGGGATCTAGACCAGCGATTTCTAACCTTTTTCATCTCATGGCACACATAAACTAATTACTAAAATTCTGCAGCACACCATAAGATATATTTTTTTGCGGATCTGACAAAAAAAGGTATAACTTTGATTCATTCACACTGGATGTCTATTGTGTTGGCTGTTGTCATTTTTTTATTTGACAATCTAAGGGAAAAGAGGTCCGTGTTCCTGACTAAATAGATATTACAAGTTTTAAAAATTCTTGTGGCAAACACCAGTGTGCCTCTTGTGGGCGAAAATAGCTGATCCAGACGGAGGAGAGGAAGGGCTTGTTGGATAGAGGGCACAGGGCCTGCAGAGCAGACTGTGGGAGAGAGCAAGCCTTTTATTCTGCTTGGGGGTTGAACGGTATGGGGTATGTTAAGGTCAGCCTGTGGAGGGTCTTAGACAAGCTAAGACATTTAAACGTTTTTCTGTTTGTAAAGAGGAGACACTGACATTCTTTGCTAACCTGGTAGCAGAATATAAGATGAACTGAAGGTGGATGGAGTGGCTGTGGATGGAAAGGACTGAATGGGAGTGGGGTACAAAATGGAAATAGGGACCATTTTGATAGGGGGACAGTGTGACTTGAATTTTGAATCCTTTAACTTGGATCGCCAAGAACTCCTAATAGAGTCAAGCAGACAGTTAAAATGCATTACTGGAGAGGCAAAGATGTCAAAACGAGTTAATGGCCTTGAATGTCATTGGTATAGAGGTGGATAGTTGAGGCTTCAGAACTGAATGAGTTTGTCATTATTCTGAATTAAATTGTAGCAGGTTTACAAATTAGTTGTTACAGTGAGGGCAGTGTTCTCTTCACCTGTTTACCCAATTTGAACAATTAACACTTGCTGCTAATATAGTGGTATTAATACAGTATGAGGCATCTAACACCATTTTCTACCTTTTAAATTATTGTGGAAACAGGTATGGGAAAGCAGAACCACCAAAAGGAGTGATGACCAGCAATCTCATGATAGATCTGGATGTTAGTTCTCATGCCTCAGGATATCCAGTTGGGAACTCCACACCAGCTCTTGGGATCAAACTTTCATCTACTTAATACCCTTCTTTACCTGAACTACTGACGCCAGCCCTAGCTAACTACGAATGGCTACCCAAAGGAAACACTTGGTGAAAGATTTCAATCCTTACATCACCTGCTACATCTGTAAAGGGTATCTGATCAAGCCAACTACAGTGACGGAATGCCTCCATACCTGTAAGTAATCTTATGTCATGTACCCATCAGCAGTTATGGGTTATACTTGCTCTTTTTAAATTACCACATTTTGTTTTTATCTAGTTTTTAACTTTTAAAACAATGAGTATACTAAGAATTATCTTAACTTTATATTTACAGGGTTGAACTTTTCATTAGTATACCAGTGGTATGAAATTATTCTTGTTTTATTGAAATTAAGGTAGTTGACTTTTATCAGATTTTTAAATGTTGTAAAAATCATAAGCATATTATTGGTTATAGTTTTTTAAAAAATAAACTGTTTTAGGTTTTTTGGGGTTTATTTAAATTATACTGAAGGAATCTGCTCAGAGGTTTTCTTAGAATATGCATACTTTAACTCATTGGTTTTTTTAACTACTTTATTGAGATATGGTTGACATACAAACAACTGTAATTATATTTATCTGCTTGATGAGTTTAGAGATAAGTATGCACCCATGAAACTGTCACATCTGTGCCATAAACCTATTCATCACCTCCCACCCTCTTATTTATTATTATTTGTGATAAGAACACTGAACATTAAATATACTCTCTTAGCAAATTTTAAGTATACAACACAGTATTGGTAGCCATAAGGCACCATGCTGTACAGAAGATCCAGGAACTTATTCGTCTTGTATAACCAAAATTTTGTACCCTTCGACTAATAACCAGTAGCCTCAGCATCACCTGAGAACTTGTTAAAAATGCAAATTATCAAGCCCCAGCCCAGAATCATAAAATCTGGGAGTGGGCCCATCAATATGCGTTTAACAAGTTCTGCAGGTGATTCTGAAGCACACTCAAGTTGGAGAATCACTCTTCTAAGATGATCATATCTGTGGAACTCCTAACAAGTTTCTTTCTCACCTGCCCTATGAGTAGATGAGAAATTTTTATAGCCACTTATGCCAGGGTTTTAAATACTTTTGTGGTTCTGCCCATATGAATTTATTTTTCTATTTCAATGAAAAGTAATTCCAGTAAGTTCTAGTTTAATGCCTATTATGTGTACAAAAGTAAGTACTTTATATATGTACTAGGTTTCATTTTAGCTTTACAGTAACCTTGGAGCAATTTGGAGTGGATATGGGAAGAAAGAATGGGTATAAAGGCTGTCTATTTTGTGGTATGGAAACTACGAGTTAAGTAACTTGCTCAGTCTCACAGCTAATGAGTAGTGGACCTGTGTTCAACTCCAAAGCCTGTGCTTTTTCTAAGATAAAATAGTGTCTGTCTGTCCATCTCTTCCTTTTTAAATCCTCCCTTTCAGCTATACTCTGCTGAACTGACATAATATTTTACCAGTAGTTTTAAACAGGGATGCAAAATATAATCACCAAAAATGGTTAAAGTGACAGATTTTATGTTATATGTATTTACCACAATAAAAAAAGAATAGAATCATCTAGGACGCTGTATAAACATGCACATGCTTAGAACTCCACCTGGAGAGGTTTGGTGGGAGTTATGAGGTCTGGGCACAAGCATTTTGGAAAACCTCTCCAGGTGATGCTGGTATATACTCCTTTGGGTATTACTAACCCATGCTGTTCAACTGGCAGTTAACTATGAACTGTCTTGAAATACAAATTATCTGTTGCCCTCGAGTAAAAGTGCATTGAGGTGGGCAGTAGGGATCATGAGTGCCTCTCCCTGCTTTGATATGGATAAATGAAGTTGCTTTACTCTTCCTTCAAAATATTCCACAAAGGCAAGTCAACTCTTTCTCTCTGTTCAAATCAGGTTGTTGCTCTCCCATTGAGAAATTCTGTAGCTAACACTGACTGGCTTCCCTGTAGATGTAGAAAGAAGGGCCAGAAGGACCAGCGGGATGACTGACTGCAGCAGCCCTTAACATTATTAAGTACTCCAGCTAGGTGGAAGGAGGAGAAATGGCAAGCCAGTTAGAAGAGGGAGGCAGAGATGGCAGGGCAAGCTGTGTCCCAGGCTCCTGGCAAGGAGTTGGGGGAAAAAACTTTATAAAAGCCTACTAATACCACTTCCCTTCAGCAGGCCAAGGACATTCTATAAAAAGATAAAATTTTAAAATGAGGTAAAAATTTAAAACGTGAGTTTTTAGTTTTAAATAATCACTTAATACTAGGGAGGAACTAAGTCTCCATTTATTATGGTTACAAGTCTATGAGATAATTTAAGTAGTTCAACAAACCTAAGGAGATAAACATGTTCACACAAATAATTATTGAATTTTTAAAAATAAGTAATTGTATGTCAAGCACTTTGCTAGTCACTAGGGTAGAGTAGTAAAAAATAAATAAATAAATTTTGAACTTAAAACTCTATCAAGCAAAACTTCTCAGAAGACAAGAAGAAATTTCTACACATATATTTGGATCTATCTTTTTCTTATCTGTGTGAACTCATCTACTCTGAGACATCAACTACCGATGCTGATATATCCCAAATCTTTATTTCTGGCATAGTCCTTTCCTCTGAGTTTCAGAATCCTCTTGTATGTCCACTTGATGTCCTAAAGCCACCTGGAAACTCAACTTATCTGAAAATGAATGAATGGGATTCTGACAGTCAGTTGTCAAAACAAGAAATATTCTTCACACTTGATTCCCTTTACCCTCATTACCAAAACAAGGACAAAGTCCTAACTGGCCTCTCTCTTTAGTATCTCTTAAAAATGTCCCCTCACTTCCTTCCCCCATGACTGTTCAGGCCCTCATTACTTCTCACCAAGGTCACCAAAGCCCACTCTTAACCATTGTCATAGTGATGATCATTTAAACATCTTACTGTCTTCATCACTCACTCTTCAGCTGACCCAAAATTTCCTTCAGATACTCTAATGCCCACAGGACAAATTAAGGGTAGTTAGGTATGACTGATTTTTGTCCCACTGTCCAACACACACATGTGCAAATACTTGGTTTAGCAGCTTGCTTTTGTGGAATGCACTTCTCCTGTATACCTGGCTAACAAGTTACCCATTCTTCAGAAATCATCTCCAAGATAGGCCACCCACCTGCTACCACAGTCAGATTTGTGTATTCTTAGAGCCCCATACTTCAGTGCTCAATAAAAGCTTATATGAATAAATAAATAGCTGGTCAGTTAATTATTTTATTGTGTTTTTCAGAGATTAAAATGCAGTGAGAGGCATGAAGACAGTGTTGGTTAGGACTTACGGATTTTGAAAAAACTGTCCTCTAAAATACAGGTGGGAGTCATGTGGGTCTTAGGTAGGGAGAGGGAGAGATGCTGGATTGGGGACTAGAGATTGGTGGCTCTAGATTAAGGGATGCTCTATCTCTTGCACTAGGGTTCTAAGGAACTTTTTGAGGTTACGTAGAGTGTATTTGCTGGTGGCTGCATAGGTAGGCTGGTGACTTAAAATGGAAGACTTTTCACTTAAACTAAGAACAAAGGAGCTTTGTTCCAGCAGTTAAAATGTGAAGAATACCATGCATTGGTTCTTAACTCTTTTGTGGTTAGAGTCTGCTTTAAGAATCTGATGATTCTTTTCTCAGAAAAAAAAAGGAAGGTTTAGACACAGAATTCTATGGTACAGGATAGGAAAGTTTTCTTCTTTTTGCCCATTCAAAGCCTATGGCATTACCCCCTAACTAAGAATGAATTCTTTGGAAAAACACATTTTTGTACTTAGCTTTTAACTTATGCAAAGAACAAAGGATAATTGATAATTAAATATAGTTGATGTGACAGTTAAGGGACTTGGTGATTTTATGTGGTAATATGGAAGAATGGAGGAATAATTTTTAAGTTATAGAGAACTTTTCATACGTTGATACTTAACGTTTAAAAATCTCGTGCTGCGTATACTTACTATTCAAGGTGCAGTTACCAGACTAGCAGCACCACCTGGGAACTTGTTAGAAGTGCGTATCTGTGGGCCTTACTGTAGACCTACTGAGTCAGAATCTCTGGGGAGAAAGCCAGAAGTCTGTGTAATGACAGGCTCTCCAGGTGATTCTGTGATGCACGAAAATTTGAGAAACACTGCTCTGAACCAGACATTTATAATACTAGCATCTCTTGAAGTAGGCAGTTTGTACTTTTAATCATACAGTAATTAAAATAAATGCTAATGAAAGATTAAACTAATAGCTGTTATTTATTAAATGTCGTATTTGGGGCCATGAGCTTTCTCTTATTGCCTTATTTAATCTTCCCAAGGGCCCTTCTAGTTAGGTGGTATTATTTAATCTTTCAACAAATGTTTATAGCACCTACATTTTACGAGTTTTTATTCTAGCCAGTGGAAACACAATAAACAAGACAGGCATAGTCTTTGCCCTCCTAGGATTTATGTTCTAATAGGAGAGACAGACAACATACAAGTAAACAATATAATTTCAGACATTGTGTGTATCAAATGCTATGAGGAAAAATAAAATAGAGGAAGGTTTTCCTTGGGAGTTACCCTTTGAGCAGAGACCAAAATAACAGGAAGGAGCAAGCTATGAGAAGGTTTGAAGGCAGAGTGTTTCAGATCCATATTCCAGAATTTTTCACAAAGACTCAGAAAGGTTAAGTGACACAGCTAATAAGTGCTGGAGCTGGGTTCTGCATCCTGGAGAACTGACTCGGGCACATCTTCATATTGTCATTTCCCTCAAATTTTTTCTTTCTGCTTGGCTCTATTTTCTAAAATTTCTCTAACAACATATGAATTTAAAATGTGTATATAATGAGCCTCTTTAACTGTTTTCTTGACTGTATATAGCTGCGATTATATACCCAGTCAGGATCTGAATCTATTATTGATCCTGAATTAAATAGCTATTTTAATGAAGAAAGGATATAAACTGAATTGTCTAATAGTGTATTCTTTATAAAATCTTATTTTTAGTCAAGACCTGTTTTTAATATGAAAATCAAAGGTTTATCAAAGTTTTTGATTCTATCAAAAAACTGTTAGAACTAATAAATGAATTCAGTAAACTTGCAAGATACAAAATCAGTACACAATAATCTGTTGTGTTTCTGTAGACTAACAA